AAAAAAAAATAGCAGCAAAGAGTAGAGAGAAGCAGGGATGAAGGGAAGGAGCAGGAAGTTTCCCTCTTTACAGTAGTCCCCTCACCTTCTCTTGGAAGCACAGCATTCACATGCTGGGTAATCTGTGCAATGTGCATACTTCCCCTAGAGAAAAGTGAAGCATCTTTTCAGTCTGTTTTCTTCTGGGCTGGCTCTCAAGTGCATCTCCAAATGTTTCTTGCAAGCCCCAGCTTTCCGTATGGTGTTGAACCACCCAGATATGTCTCAAGGCTTTGCATCTATTTTGGAGAATTAATTTTTTTCAGTGACTATGCATCATGTTATAGATTGATGAGAGCCAAAACAAGCTTAGTGTCTGGGACAGTTGGTGCGTGGTTCATCAGTAAGAGAGGCATGACAGTCAGACCTGATTTCTTGGCTTGGAGAAACGAGACTTAAACCCACTACAGAATGAGTAAGGCATACATCAGGATGACAATTTAAGACAAAAGAGAAAACAAAAGTAAGAAAATTGAGAGGAATAGGGAAATGAAAATGCATTAACTGGAACAGAGGATAGCACTTCGTTAAGTGTTAACTGTCTATTCAGTTCAGGCTTTAGCAGTGATTTTGGAAAGGCCCAAATGTCCTGGAAACCGCCTACAAAGGCAGCTCTCTTCCTTTAAATATGCAACTGGCAAAGGTCCCATGCCAGCTGATGTCTGTCCCTACCAACACATGCAGAGCTTGTACCCTTCCACATCTGACTCCTGGTACACCACGAGTACCTGTTTGTTTGAACAAGACTGTGAACAATCATATAGACAGGTTCAGTGAGGAGAGTCAAAGAAAGGACTTTGTGCTTAAATGTTTTGGCAATGCCCGAGTGACAAAAATGTGTTTGGGTTCCACTTGGTAGTTTATTCATACTCTGCACACAGGTAGATTTCAGGTTTTTGCATGCGAGGAAAAACAAGGTTTTCTCTCAGCTTCATTCAGGGGTTAAGTGCAGAGTGTGCATATTCTTCACACGACTCCACTGAGCTTTGTACGTAGGATTAGTTTTCCTTCCTGTAACACACTGAATATCCTTAAAAGAGGAAAACGTCTCAGTGTATTTACCATTCCTATTTCAGTGACCCTGTACAACTGCTCTTACGGACGAAGTGACTGCAGCTTGTGCCTCGCTGCCAATGATGACTACAAGTGTGTCTGGTGTGAAGAAGACGGCAAGCCCAGCAAGTGCGTTTATGAAAAGCTCTGTCACGCTCCTCCCACCGACACGTGCCCTCATCCAGAAATCACTCGTGTAAGATTACTTTTTTTCCTTCCTTACCAATGTAGTATTTTTTAAGAGAAAGCATCCAAACAAGACCATAGTGAAAGGCAGGTTTTTCTTCCTAGTGTTAAGTCATCCTCTGAAATAACTATGAGGAAATAAGGCCAGTAGCGATGTGTGCAAGAGATTTGTAAAGACTCAAAATAAGAGCCTGAATGGAGTCTTTGAGACTCCTTGTTTTTCAAGCCTTGTCCTCACTGTGCCAGAAGCCAGGCTAGCAGTGTATGCTTAAACGTGGCACTTGATTCTTGGGAATAAGCATGGGTATTTTTTTCTTTTGAAGCCCTTTCTACCTGAACTAAGTATATAAGAGAGGTTCACCGCTCCTGAAACCAAAAAGCACTTAGCAGGCTCACTAACAGACTTCAAACTAGACTTTTAAATAGTATTTAATAATTCTGCATCAGAATGTGTTTTCCAGGTGCCAGTGGTATTTTCCAGTCTGCACCAGCATTAAAACCAAGGCTGTAGAAGTTAGATATAAGAAGTCAGAGAGGCCAAATGTGCACCCTTGACTTACTCTGTGGTTGGAGCATTCACCCAGGGCAAGGCCAAGAGTGTTGTCCACCTTGGTGGACTAGTAATCAAAGCAAGTCCTTTTCAGCAACAAGCCAAATGCTGTTTTTCTGTGCATAATTGTTGAGACAAGACTGATAAATACTTCCACTGGGCAAATCTACATTGCTGTGAAAAGGGTATGGTTACTTTGAAACTCAGGCACACCATTTGATGAAAACATATCCCAAGCTATCACAAAATGCAATAACTGTGTGACAGAGGTTGAGGGTTGTAACAGGAATGTTTCACTCAATAGGAACTGTTGGATTCTGAAAGCTGTGGCTCAAACTGGTAGAGATGCTGCGTCTCCTGAGGCTGCACAGTTTGAGGTACAGTGTGGGTACAGGCAGACCAGCAGCACACTGGATGAGGTTG